TGATCAGATAGGACACCAAGAGTTATCTTCATCCTCAGGCTTGCAGTGTGTCCTAGGATATGGTCAGTTTTGGAGATTGCTCCATGCACCACTGAGAATGTGAGCCCTGTCGTTGTTGGGTGCAATACTCTGTAGATGTCTACTTGGATACTGTGGTCATTAAATTCAGAAGCTTCTTTGCTGAGCTTTTGTTTGGTTGACAAATCCTTTGGTGAGAATGGGATGTTAAAGTCTCCCACTCTTGTTGTGTTGGGGTCTATCATGTTCTGTAAGTCTAAGAGTATTTCTCCAATGTATTTATGTCCTCCATTGTTTGGTGCATATAAATATTAACCACTATGATTACCTCTTTGTGGATTATGTCCTTTGTTAATATGTAAGGGCTTTCCTTGTCTCTTAATACTGATGTTAATGGAAAGTCTATATTGTCAGAAAAATACATGGCTACATGGCCTTTCTTGCAAGATGCATTTTCATGAAATATCTTTATCCAAGCTTTTACTCAGAATTTGTGTTTTTCTTTTGACTGTGAAATGACTTTGTGGGAGACAACAAAATTTAGATGAGCCTGATGCTGGTGGCTAACACCTGTAATCCTAGCTACTCATGAGGCTGAGATCTGAGGATCCTGGTTCAAAGCCAGCCTGGGCAGCAAAGTCCATGAGACTCTTATCTCCGATTAACCACCAGAAAACGAAGTGGCATTATGGCTCATCTTGAGCTGAAGATCTGAGAGATAGTGCCCAGACACTAGTTCAAGCCCCATGACTGACAAAAACAATAAAACAAAAACTCACATGAAATCTAGGGATTTTTGTTTTGGTCCAATCTGCTACTCTACTTCTTCTGATTGGGGAGTTGAGCCCATTCGTATCTAGAAAGAAACATGTCTCATGTCGGGAGCCAGTGGCTAATGCCTGTAATCCTAGCTACTCAGAAGGCTGAGATCTGAGGATCGAGATTCAAAGCCAGTCCAGGCAGGAAAGTCCCTGAAACTCTTATCTCCAATAAACCACCAGGAAACCGGAAGTGGCACTGTAGCTCAAGTGGTAGAGCGCTAGCCTTGAGCTGAAGAGCTGAAGGACAGTGCTCAGGCCAAGAGTTCAAGCCCCATGACCGAAAAAAAAAAAAAAGAAAAGTCTCATTTCCTGATATTTTGTTGTTTTCCTGCAGTATGCTTCCTTCCTCTTCTTGTATTTATTAGTCTTCAAGAGCTTTTTACTCAGTGCTTTGTTTCCTTGACTTTGACTATTCTTTTCAGATTGTCATCTTGCCTTTATTCTGGTTTGTAGTGCGGGTTTAGTGTTCATGGATTCTTGGTCTATGATTTTCATGGAAAAGTTTCCTTACACCATCCATTGTGACTATTACATTTCTAGGTTACCCCAGTTTGGGTTTCCATTACTGTCCTCCAAAGCTGCTAGGGGCTTTCCTTGAATTCAGAGTTACTGTGAACAAATCTGCAGTAATACTATCTTCTTTCCGTTGTAATAAAGTTCTTCCTTTGGTTTTTGCTTCATTTAAAAATAGTTTCTTGTTCTTGAAGTGCAAAGGTTTCACTCTGATGTGTCTAGAGATATTCTTCTGGGATCCTGACTGATACAAGTTCTACAAGTCTCTGTTAGTTGGGTGAGATTCTGTCTGTTGAGACAGGAGATATTGTCTGTTCTTATTTTGTAACCTAGTTTTTCAATGTGTATCCAGAGACTTTGAGAAAAGAAAACTTTCTAGCATTTCCTGTGTGCTAGTTTATGACCCCTGTGCTGTGGGGTCCTGGAGTCCCCCAGCCCTGGTGCACTTGATCCGGTACTCTGCAGAGCCAGGGCACAGGATCACCCATGGTGGCAAAGCCCAGTGGAAAAGGCAGAGAGCATTCTGGGTTTTGCTCCAAGCTCAGGATACATCCAGGGCTGTAGGAACTAACTTTTAATAACCAGCTACATCCTGAGGATTACTTTCTGATGAGTTTGACTTGTATTATTCTAATCGATAAACATAATGTGTTTTCTAAGCGATTCCTTAAGCACCTGGGAGACAGATTGCCTCTCCTGAGGGGACATTAGATTGACGCCCCGTAAACAAGGCTATCCAGACAGCAGGTGACACTGATTGACATCCACTGGGAGAAGCCTCATCACCCTGATATGGTACATAGTCGAGACTGGGCACAGGCAGCCTACCCACGATGCGAGACTGCCTCCAGGAAGCTGTGCCCCGTGAATGAGCATTGAGAAGCTCTCAGCCTTGAGAAAAACATGAGGTAGGAAGAAGTAAGAAAACTTCATCAACCTCTTACCCCAACCTTACAATATTGCCTGCTATACATGTTGAGATATGAAACCGGGTTGCAATAATGTTTCCTGAATGGAATGTATAAACTTCAATGTTTTCTAGATTGACTTCATCTGCAGTAACCCAGGAAAGGGGTAAACTCTATTAATAAGGTATTGATTGAGCTACAGATGTAATTTATGTATGTATGTATGCGTGTGTATTTATTTGATTATCAGTTGCCTGTCTTGTGGCTTGAATCAGGGCCTGAGCACTGTCCCTGAGTTTTTGTTCTCAAGGCTAAGACTCTGTCACATAAGCCACAGCTCCACTTCCAGCTTCTCCACTTCCAGACTTTTGAAGTCTGTTGGTTTCCAATCATGATCCTCATATCTCAGCTTCCTGAATACCTAGGATATAGGAGAGAGCCACTGATGCCAATTAACAGATGCTTTCTTTTCTTTTCTTGTTATTGTCAGCCATGGGGCTTGAACTCTGGGCCTGGGCATTGTCTCTAAGCTCCTCCACTCAAAGCAAGCACTCTACCACTTGAGCCACAGCACCACTTCTGGTGTCCTGGTAGTTAATTGGATTTAGGAGTCTCACAGACTTTCCTGCCCAGACTGGCTTTTAACAGTAATCCTTAGATCTCAGCCTCCTGAGTAGCTAGGATTACAAGTGTAAACCACTGGCAGCCTTCTCAGATGTTTATCTTATAGCTTATCAATTCTGTGAATGACGGATATGAGAATCGCACTCTTCCCACTTTTTGTCATTTTAATTGTCATTATTATTTTGTATGTTTATTATAAAGCTAGTATACAGGGTTACTATTTCATAACTAAGAAAATGAGGATAAATATCTGTCTGTTGTAAGGCTTCCACTCAGGGTGCACATGCTGTCCCTGAGATTTTAAGCTCCAGGCTGTGCTCTGCTACTTTGAGCCACAGTGCATCTTCTATAGTACATTTCTTTTTGGGTAATGTCAGCCTTACCTCTGCCCTTCCCAGTTTTCCCATCCTGTCCTAACCACAAGTTAAGTAGTTCCTTTTCCATAAGTGTCTACTGAGTACGACTGATGCATTCGTTCACCCTTTAACTGTCATAATGACCACCAGACTCTCCAAACAGCAAGTGACTTTATTCCTCCAACCTCAATGGAAAAATTTCAGTACCACAGATACAATGCTAGGGAAATCATAGATTTTAACATGATAATAATAACAAGATCTCTGCATGATCAAAACATTCATCATTTACATATACTGAATCTGTTGCATGGTAGATTTCCTAGGTCTCTTGCTATATATTGCTCACTTCCAGTGATCACTTCGTAGAGGAAAGAGGTGAGCTGAAACCTACTTTGAATCTTAGGCTCCTGTTCCATTGCCCCAGTGTTTTATCATAGAGCAAGGGTTGTTTCTGTAGATTTTTGTGTCATTTCCTTCCAGAAATACCTTGGCATTTCATCTCTGGAGTCACATGATAATGACTGCATTTCATATCAAGGCATGCTAAAATAGAACCATGGTCAGCACAATGCTTCATTGAGTTTTCATGAGGTGTGTGAAACCATGCTCACATCTGGTATATTTAGCCACTCCTCTTTTGAAGCTTAGTTTATAAACATTTTACCCAAAAATTTTCCCAGTTTGTAATTTCTTCACAGGAAGCATTTTACCTGGAAATCTTCCTGGGATGGTAAACATTTCTTTGGGGATGCTGGAGCTTGAACTAATAGTCTGTCCCTAAGCTTTCTCATGCACTACTGATCAGATGTGTTTTCAAATGAGACATTGTAGCTGGACACTGGCAGCTGATGCCTATAATCCTAGCTACTCAAGGAGTTGAGATGTGAAGATCATGATATGAAACCAACCCAAGCAGGAATGTCTCTGAGACTTATCTCCAATTAATTAGCAAAAAGATGGAGGTGAAGCTCTTAGGTTTGAACAAGACTAAAACACCACAAGGATATCATTCAAACACTGATGTCAAGCTGCAAGATTTGAAATGAGCTTGTGCGCACGAGCCGGGAGACACACAAACACACACACACAGAGGCACAGGCACACAGCAAATATAATCTGGAGAGCAAAGAAAATTTCTTTTTTTTTTTTTGACAGTCATGGTGCCTGAATTCTGGGCCTGGGCACTGTCCCTCAACTCTTCAGCTCAGGGCTAGCGCTCTACCACTTGAGCCACAGCACCATTTCCGGCTTTTTTTCTGCTTATGTGGTGCTGAGGAATGGAACCCAGGGCCTCATGCATGCAAGGCAAGCGCTCTACCACTGAGCCACCTTCCCAGCCCCAAAGAAAATTTCTTATACTATGCAAATTTCTGTGTACCACAGACCCACAGTTCTCCTAGCAAAGGCACTAGGACCCGAGATATGACCCAGGGTTTCCCTCCTATAATCTCATCAGTTTCTGTACTCAAAGATCCTCTGGAACCTTTGAGATTCCATTCCGGAAGTACCACTCCTGGGCCTGAAACTGATTTTCATCGTCCTCATATTCTTCCTCAAGAACCATCTAGAATGGATCGATAACCTAGTGCACTGATTTTTCATTCTGGTATCAACTATCTGGCTGCTCTAGACATCAGACCTTACAATGCCACTCACAATGTTCTCCGGCGAATCAATATGTGGGCTTTTCCTCATAGTCCAGCTGTGCATTGGTATTCCTGCTCTCCATGCTCTATCTATACATGTTTTCATTCCAGCGTCATCTGAAGAAGCCCATCAATGCCATATTCATACATTTGACTGTGGTCAACATCCTGAACATCACCTTCACACTTGTGCCAAATATCATGGCATCCTTTGGAGTACAACGTTTTCTGGACGATGTGGGCTGCAAGGCAGTGGTGTGCCTCTTCAGAGTCACCCAGGATCTGTCCATCTGTACCACCTCACTCCTCAGTGTGTTTCAGGACATCACCATCAGCTCCAGTCGTGCCCAGTGCGTGAGGCTTAAATCTAAGTCTTCAGTGTGGATTTTCCCTTCTTTCTTGTTCTTCTGGGTTGTCAATATGCTCATCTATGCCCCAGTAGTTAAGGTTATGAAAGCCAAAATCAATTTCATTCTCATTGGTTCTGAGTTTTCCAATGAATATGGTCATACTCCTCAGCTTGAAGACAATAGATCAGGGTATTATATGTCTATCTTATTATTTCCAGATCTTGTGTTTATAATCCTCATGATCATCACCAGCCTCTACATGATGAGGCTTCTCTACCAACACCACCAGATAGCTCAGCACCTACATAGTTTTAGCCTTGCCACCCAGCCAGCACCCAAGAGAAAGGCCACCCACACCATCCGGCTGTTGGTCAGCTGTTTCCTGTGTTTCTATTGCTTCAACAACATCACCAATTTCTATTACTTTTACACAGCAGTGAAAATCCCTACCTTGGAGGTGATGGTTTGTATTCTAGCAGCATGCTACCCGACCGTGTCCCCTTTTTTCCTCATGAAGAATAATAATATGCTTTCCTCATGTGCCCTGTCTCTTTCATGGAGAACTATCAGTTGTTACAAAGCATTCAGTGGCTGATTGGAAAGCTGAAATTTTTGTTCAAAAGCAGATTAAGCCTGGCACTGGTGGCTCATGCCTGTAATCCTAGCTACTCCGGAGGCTGAGATCTTAGGATCGTGGTTCAAAGCCAGCCCAGGCAGGAAAGATCGTGAGACTCCTATCTCCAATAAACCACGAGAAAACCGGAAGTGGCGCTATAGCTCAAGTGGTAGAGTGCTCGCCTTGAGCTGAAGAGCTGAGGGAAAGCACTCAGGCCCAGAGTTCAAGCCCCACGACCAACAAAAAAGTAAAAAAGAAAAAAAAAACCAGATTAAATTCTAGTAATGTACATGGAAGCAACTGTGTGGGTATGAGCACTGGAAGGGCTGTTCAAATTTAGATATGCTGTAACTTTCAAACTCTGAGGTCCCTTTCAAACCACTGAGGTACTAATGTGTGTGTTGGTGGGGGGATGTTACAAAAAGTTTTACCTTATTTAGTTGTTTAAAATACTATTGGTGGGAGGGCTGGGAAGTTGGCTCAGTGGTAGAGCGCTTGCCTTGCATACCTGAGGCCCTGGGTTCGATTCCTCAGCACCACATAAGCAAAAAGAAAAAAGCCGGAAGTGGCCCTGTGGCTCAAGTGGTAGAGCACTAGCCTTGAGCTGAGGAGCTGAGGGACAGCGCCCAGGACCAGAGTTCAGGCCCCATGACCGGACCAAAAAATAAAATAAAATAAAATACTATTGGTGGGATAAAATGAAATACAGCTATTAAACTGTCCATTTCTTCCTTAAATTCTAATTCTACTAACAGTGCTGTTTGTTACAAGGAATTTTATTGGATCATCCTATGAATGCTGGTCATACAATGACAAAGCATCACCCAGCCAATGCGGAACAGGGATACAGCCAATGACAAACAAAGATGTAGTCCATGAGAAAGCGTAGAACCACAGCAAGGCATGAGTGGCTCATGCCTAAAATCCCAGCTGCTTGGGAATCTGAGCTCTGAGCTCTGAGGACCATCATTCTAAATCACTCTGCGCAGGAAAGTCAGTGAGACTCTAAGCTCAATTACTCACAGAAAAAACTCTAAGTGGTTCTGTGGTAGAATGTTAGTGTTGAAGAAAATTCAGTTTCATGAAGGATCTATATTTTTCTTTCTTTTATTTATTTTTTTTTGCCAGTCTTGGACCTGAACTCTGGGCCAAGGCGCTGTCTCTCAGCTCTTCATTTCAAGGCAAGCTCTTCACCACTGGACCCACAGAGCCACCTCTGGCTTTTTCTGCTTATGTGGTGCTGAGGAATCAAACCCAGGGCCTCATGCATGCAAAGCAAGCACTGTACCACTGAGCCACCTTCCCAGCCCTAGTCTTGTTTTTTTGATCCATCTGCAGCTCTATAACCTTTGGTTGAGCAATTGAGCCCATCGGTACCTGTTATTCTGGGTCTAGGGCTCTGAGAATCAAAGTTTAATAACCAACTGCACCCTGAAGTTTACTTTCTGATGAGTTTGACTTGGATAAAAAAAAACACGTCTTCAAATGGCAAATGTGTTCATCTAATTAATAAACTTAGTGTTTGCACCTTGTCCCCTGTTAGAGTGGTTTGCAGCTCCTGTGGGAAGATTTGATGGATGCCCAGTAAACAATGCCAGCCAGGCAGGGGGTGATACTGATTGATGTCCAGACATCAATGACAAAAAGCTTCTTTATCACAAGCCTTCTCTATAGTGGAGTCTGGCCAGACTCAGCCTTTCCAGGATGCCAGAATGTCTCAAGGAAGCTGGGCCTTTTGAGCCAGCTCTCAGCCCTGAGGAGACCATGAGGTAGGAAGAAGCCAGAAAACTTTTCATTATCCCATTTCCCCTGGCTATTATCTGCTATAGGTGTTGTGAATTTAAATGCTTTCATCTGGGAA